CCCTGCATCATAATCAGGGACTGCTTTCCCAGGTGACTGGCCATACCTTCCTCCAATTTATCTTGCTAAACACCTGTATAGGCTACAGCTCTCACCTTAAAAGCATGGGAAAATGAATGATGTTGAATTAATAATACACCCTCTCTACTGGCAGCCTTCTTTTCTAATAAGCTCAAAGTGACTTCCGGAACCTGAAATATTCTACCAGAAGATACCCTCAGAAAGAAAAGACATAAACATCAAGGATTATGTTATCGTCCACAGTTGAACACTGGGAACAGAGCAGTAAGTGAATAAAATGAACGCCAGGACCTAGACAGAGGACAGCGGCAATCTTTGCTGCATCTCCTCACTGCTCGCAGGGCTCCAGGCGGTCAGCTTTCCAGTGAAAGGTCGGGCTCAGGTAACAGCAGCGATGGAAGAATGTAGAAGGAATGGAAAACAGCGGGCAAAGTGTGTCCTTTCAGGATACACAAGTTGACCTCGTTTATTACTGTTCTTGTGACTGGCATATCATTGACAGAAATCCTGTGGGAAAATGTGTCTGGATCCATGGGTCTGTGCACTGTGTTTCTTCTCTACAATCAGGGCGACATTGTCCTCCACCCTTCCCTTCAGCAGGAGGATTCTCATCACTGTGTCTCGCCCCAATCCTTCCAGGATACCTATGCGGCCTCCTCTGACCTCGGTCCCGGGTCTGACCCCACATCCCAGAGTGATTTTACATTTCTCCAGTGCCGAGTTATCTTGGGCTTTTCTTTACACTCCTGGAGTCTTCTCATGGTTTGTTCACCTCCCAGTTCTGTGTGTGGTTTGTGGAAAGGAGCTCCTATTTTCACAGACAGACTCTGGAATCACTAGTGAGTGCCTACTCTGCTCTGTAAGGCTTGTCAAGGTTACAGTAAGTACACACACATGAAACAACTCCTGCTGAAAAGCAAGAGTCAAGAATCAAACTAATTAAATAGCCCCTTAACCCTCTCACGTGGGAGAGGTTGAGAGGTGGCTGGGAAAGAAGTCATCCAGGTAAAGTCTGCAGGACTAGCCGGTCTACAGAACTAGCTCCTGACTCACTGCGGGGCTGGAGGCTTCCGGATTTAATGATCTATGATTATCTATGATTGGCACCTTTCTTAACTGATATTGGGTCACTGGGAGAGCCAAATGTGACCATTACACTGATTGGATCAGCAGGTAAATTTCATACTGTAGACTTACGAGCATCCTAGCCAAACTATCCCACTAGTGGGATAAGATGTGTTTTCTTGGAACTATAGTAACACATCTCAAGTGTATCTTAGAATATAGGATCAAATAAATATATGGTGATGGAAGGAGAACTGACTCTGGGTGGTGAACACACAGTGTGATACATAGATGATGTATAACAGAACTAACTGCACACCTAAAACCTATGTAACTTTACTAACAATTGTTACCCCAATAAACTTTAATTAAATATTAAAGGGGACAAAAAATCTAGACAGAAAACCCCTTGTACGGCTGGGTAAACCAAGAAGAAATAGAATATTTGCATGCTGAATACATTACAAAGCTATAGTAAACAAAAGAATGTGCTGGTGGTATAAAAGGCAGATACAGACCAATGAAACAGAACAGAGAGCCTAGAACTAAACCCTCACGTACATGTTCAAGTGATCTCTCGCAAGGGTACCAAGACCATTTAATAGGGAGTCACTGAAGAGCCACATGCTAAAAAATAAAAATAAAATAAAAAGAAAAGAAAAAAATGGGAAGTTGGATCCTTGCTTCATACCATATACAAAAATTAACTTAAAATGGACTAAAGACCTAGAAAAAAAAAGATGTAAATCTGTAAAATACCTAAAGGAAAACATAGGGAGAAAGCTTTAGGACCCTGGACTTTGTAATGATGTCTTCGATATGACATAAAAAGCACACTCCAGAGCAAAAGTAGCCAAATGGAACGACATGGAACTTAAGAAGTTTTGTGTCTCAAAGGACACAATCAACAGAGTGAAAGGCAGCCCACGATATGGAAGAAAATAGTTTCAAATCGTATGATCTGATAAGGGGTTTATATCCAGAATATAGAAAGAATTCCTAGAACTCAACCAAAAGAATTCCCCCCGTCAAAAAAAGAAAAAAAAAAAGGGGGCAAAGGAGTCTAATAGACAGTTTTACAAAGTCGTACAGATCGCCCCCAGCATCTGAAAGGATGCCCCGCCTCATGAGTCCTTGGAGAAATGCAAATCAAAACCATAAGGAGTAATCGCTTCACATGCATTTGGATAGATACTGTCAAAAAAAGAAAAGAAAAGAAAAAACACAGAAAATAACAAGTGCTGGTGAGGATGTGGAGAGATTCCCCACTGGAGGGAAAATGAAGTGGTGCTGTCACAATGGAAACCAGTATGGTGGTTCCCCAAAAGATTATAAATAGAATGACCACGGACTCCAACAACCCCCGTCCTCCGGATATACACCCCAAAAAAACTGAAGGCAGGATCTCAGAGACGCCTGCATCCCCATGGTCGCTGCGGCGTGATTCACAATAACCAAGAGCAGGACACGACTCGCGTGTCAATGGACGACAGATGAAGAGATAAAATCCGGTCTGTCCACACAGTGGGATGCTGCACGGTCTTACAATGGGAGAAAAGCCTGCAGCGTGCCACCGCACCGACGAACGCCCCGGCCATGGTGCTAGCGTCAAAAGGCAGCTGCCACAGGACAACGCTGCACAGCTCCTCTCAGAGGAGGGACCCACGGGAGTCCGGTTATGTCCCAGACACAGGATGTGCTCGGCGGGCGCCAGGAGCAGCGGGGCGTACTGTCTAAGGGGACAGAGGGTCAGTGTCGCAGGATGAACAGGCATTAAAGGGCGGTGCTGGTTCCGGAGCGATGTGAATTCCCGTAACGCCACTGACCCGTGCACTTAGAAACGAGGCAGATGGCAAGTTTTCAGCTGTGTGTTTCTTGTGTGTTTTTTTAAAACAACCAGCTGTCTGCACGTGTCCCTGTCATTACGGCTGTGGGGACCAGTGTGTGTGCACCCAGGACAGCCCCCCGACTTTCCCACACACAGGCCTTGGAGCAGCGGGCCGTCCTTCGGGGGGACTTCTCTAGCTCCCGGGATATACAACCTGCGCCTTTGGACAGACGTATAAATATAAGTAACAACGTGTTTCAGAGATGACTGTAATTCATACTTACGGGATTGTAAATTCAGAATTACTACCGTGACTACTGCAAATGTTCTGCCCCCTCACCAAGAATTCTAAAGGCTGAGTATTCACCTTTCTTCCTGGGAGCATCTTAAACTAGGACTGCATGTTTAAGCGGTTTTTGTGGTCCTGCAATCTAGAACATTCTTGACCTCGTCACTTCTAGCGAGACACAGCAGGCGAGTCAGTTCCGATCCATGTTCAGCTAACAAGCCCCGAGAGAGAACACGTCAACTTTCCATCCCACGGAAACAAGCGAAGGGAGTGGTGAGGGCATGCACAGAGACACATTAAAAATGGATTATGCCTTTAGCTTGACACGAAAACCAGAAGCTTCGCGGGGAAATCTACCTGCTTGTTGATCAACTCCTCAAAGTCTGAAGAGCGGCTGCAACATTCAGCCTGACCCTGATTTTGAAAAGACAAAGGCAGAGCCGCCTACTGAAGTTGAACTCGGAAGCAATGCTGTCGTGAACACGACTTTTAAGGAACACCAGCACACACCGACGTCCCATGGGTTGGTGCTTAGGGACTCGGGGAAAAGCATGCAGGTGATTTTAAGAGCCCCCTGAAAGGCAGATTGAATGGGGCCCCGAGTGTGTGCAAACTCTTCCCAGGGAGCTTGTGAGCCTCCAGCAAGAGGGGCTGTTTGCAAGCAGTGCGGAGACGCGAGGCGGCAGCGGGCGTGCGCTGGACGCCACGTCACCGGGTGGGGTGGCAGGCCTGTCCCCTGCACACACAGCCCTGCCGACGGCAAGGGGCACGCACCTGGCATGAGCGCGGCTGTGGGGAACACGTCTTGCAGCTTGGCCTGGGTCTCGGCCAGCAGTTCCTCTTTGGACATGGGCAGCTGCAGGACGTCTACGATGATCTGCGCGGCTTCCGGAGCCTTCTTGCCCATGACCAGGGACTTCACGTCCCAGGTGTAGTTCTTGTTGTAGCGCCCGCAGACGTCCTGGAACACTATGGAATACAGCCGCTCCGTGTCTGCAGGAAGGAGGGAGACGAACATGGGGAGACGTTCAGGACGCGTGCACGGCAACACCGAGGCTGTCCCGGACACGCATGCATGTATACACACAGGAGGTCATGTTCAGGGCGCGCGCTCTAGCGGAGTCCCGGGTGGCGGTGCACACCTGTACGGGTCACTGGATCTCCACACCTGTGATCTGCAAAGGTCAACACCGGGAGGGAAATAAAGCCTACAGCACAGCTGTCCTATACACCCGGGTACGCAAGTGAGGAAATGTGCACTTGGGGTCACGACTCCACCCCGACATCCACGTCGTCCTCACCTGGCATTCCCACACGTGCCTGAAGGCAGCAGCACACAGGGTCTGCATGTGGCCCTCTGCTGTTGGGGACACTGCCAGCTGCTGTGCTACTATTTAACTCAGCTCTGACACTACCTGTCCAGCGCCGGCATATCTGATCCCCCAGGTGAAGGGCTCAGTCCCACATAACCGCCCCCCTCCCCACAACACACACAAACTTCAGATGTCGGTGACAAGTCCAGGTTGTCACCTGGGCTTCCAACCAGCTATACATCGAAGGCTCCTAGGACGCCCGCCACAGGTTTGATTAATTTGCTAGAGCAGCTCAGAATTCAGGGCAACAGCTGACTTCACTTGTCTACCTGTTTATGATAAAAGGATACAGCTAAACACCCAGTGGAAGAGGCGCGTAGGGTAAGTGGGGGGGTGGGCGCTAGATGGAGCAGGGCCTGGTGCTCCCAGGTCCCCTGTGGGCCCACCCCGTCCCATCACCTCCATCACCTCCACGTGGGCACCAACCCGGGAGAACCCCATCCTACTGGGATTTTTACAGCAGCTTCGTCCCGTGGGCGACCTCGGCCATTACTGACTCTCCGCCCCTCTCTGGAGAATGGGGGTGAGGGGGTGGAGGGGTGGGGGGGAGCGTCCCGCAAGTTCCAAGCTTCTGACCAGGGCTTGGTCTTTCTGGTGACCAGCCTCAATCCAGAAGCCCCCCCGAGAGTCACCTCAACAGAACAAAAGATGTTTCTGTCGCCCAGGAAATCCCAAGGGACTCAGGAGCCGTGTGAGGAACTGGGATCAAAGCCCAAACGTTAGAACCAAAGAGGCTCCCGGTGCTCGTATCGTTAGGAAACTACCAGGGTTTTAGGAGCACTGTGCCAGGAACTGGGGGGGAAGAGACAAGTACAGACATTTTCTGTTATCTGCCAAGCCCGTACCATGTCAGGTGGGAGGTGGGCCTTGCAGTTAGAGGCCACAGGGACACTTTCTAGGGGTACCGCCTCAGGCAGCATCGCTCACCTCCCTGGCCCCCCCTTCAGGCAAACATGAGGCAAACGGCACCACTGATAATAGCAGCTTTAACACCATCAATACGTACAATGGTGAACTTGATACAATGTTATACCCAGCGCTCGATTTCCATGTATTTAGATGTATGTTTTCTTTTTGTATACTTACATTTAGTGTACAAACAGCACCGCCAGAGCTAATGCCATCAGTACCCGGCTGTGTGACAGGGCTGCCACGGCCGGCTGCCGCTGCCAGGTCATCTTCACTCCCCTGATGCTGGGCCCAGGCACATCCGCTCCCTGGCAGCCCGCGAACGTCCAAGCGCCGTGCCAGGAGGCCGCGTGGGCAATGACCCGCGGCCCTGAAACACGGGGACTGTCTCCAAGGCAACCGCTGCAATGCCAGCTAGGCCAGGCGGGGCTTGCGCTTGTGGGGAGCAGCAGCTCGGTGCCCACAGGGAAGCTGGCGGGCTCTGGCAGGAGGCCCGTGCTGGGCCTCACCTTCCTGATGCCCGTGGCGCGGACACAGGGCGTCGGGGACCCGAGAGGGGACGGACGGGGCTGTCCTCGCACAGCCTGAGAAGCGGGCACACAGGCACTCGGACAGAAACGCCAGCTCCCGTGCCAGAGGAGGCCGACCGCCTGTCCTGGCTGTGGCATCAGGGCGCAGCCACCGGTCACGAAGCCGCATGAACGGTACACGTTCTAGACGGAAACGGCACAGTGTGACCCAATCACGGTTCCTGAAAAGAGCGGAGCGACTTCCATGGCTCGTCACAGGTTTTCCCGCAAGGAGATGTAAAAATGGAGTCATGGTGCCTAGCCACTTCTTCTTCCTGAGACAGTATTTTGAGAGAGAGAGAGAGACAGAGAGAGGGAGGGAGGGAGGGAGGGAGGGAGGGAGAGGCTCTGACAAGAGGAAACTGCAGGCCCCGAGCAGGCGAGCGGCTGCAGCTGGGTTTGCAAAGCAAAGAGCAGCCGTGAGGACAGGAGCCAGCAGATGCCCTTCAGGGGCTCCGGCTCAAGCAAGCGGCCGGGCAGAAAGGAGTGTGAAGGAAACAAATTCCAAAGACAGAACGATAGCTACACCCTTTCAAAATGCTTTCAACGGTGTTTGTATAAAAGGTTAAAATGTCGTAGCGCTTGTCAAGTCAAAGGCACAGAGCTGTGGGGCTCTACCTGTCGTCAGCCCCTGTGCGGACCGCCCCTTTTCTTCCCAATTGACATAAAATCACCCCAAATCCTCAGCAGAGCACGTGAGGATCTAAGCAAGTCATTAAAGAACTGCTCAGATCCGACAACGACCATGCCAGCTGATGACGGTCGTCCTTAAAATGAAGGGGGCAGCCTTCTGACAGCAAACAAGTGTCCCGAAGCTAAACTACACGGAGAGAGCACGGAAGGGCTGTGCCACGCTGCCGCAGGCGCGTGCCCCCAGCTCAGGGGCCCCCGCTTTTGCACTTGCTCCTGGAATACTGTTCCCAGGGAGCTGGGCTCTGCGTCCCGCACGCTGCAGTCACAGAAAGCTGCAGAGCAGCGGTTCTCAACCTTCCACCGGCAGATGGGGACGGGCACCTGGGACCCCGGCCACAGGGTGGGGGGTCCCGTCACCGTGAGCGTGGGCACGCCTGGTGCCCAGGTGGGGCGGTGGAAGGCGCTCGAGTTTAAGTCCCTTAGACTGTTACCGACGGCATCCCGACCCCTGGAGGAAGCTGCAACCGGCGGCCTCTACGCTTAGCCTCCTTCTAAGGACAGACACTGGTGAGCTAACCTCCCAGCCTGGGACAGGAACAGGAAGCCTGGTCCTCACTGCCATAGGCCAGAAACTTCTGGAAACTGGAGTTTTCACTCCGCAGCTAAGTCTGACTCGCACTGGCAGGAGACGGTTTTGACGACTATTCATCACACCCTGAATGTATCACACGTGTCCCTATAGAAAGATCAACGCGTTTGATTATGGGGGCTGCCCCAAGACCCCCCAGATGCGTCTATATCACAGAACACACCTCTCCTAACACTTCTTTAAAATGGTAATTAGAAACAGAAACAGAACTGGCACCCCAGGCTTAGAAAGGCATTCGGAACCCACGGTGAATACGGCTTGCTGGCCAGCGGACACCTAGCTTAGCTTGCACACACCTGGAGCATTTTAACACTTTTCTCAAAAGTCAACATATCTTGAAAATAGTCTTACTTTTCTAATGTCCAATTATAAAACTAGGGGAGGGGGCAATCTAAAGCCCTGTTGTGTGCTACAGATAGGTTAGTTCCTCAGAGGCACAAAATCCGCCTGAAACTTAAAAAAAATAAAAATAAAAAAATATATCTAAAAGCAAAACCAAAAAAAAAAAAAGAAACTTAAAGAAAATGATATAAAATCCATTTCCACACCAAGGGCCCATCTGGAGCCAAAATCAAACGGTCACAATGTGGCAGATAAGCGCAACCCACTGCGAGCTGTCTGTCACCGGCCATGTTTCTGAATGTGGTGATCACTGCGTATTTTAAACGTGAAACGGCTTTAATAATAAAAACCCCGCGTCCAGTACACTTTGGTGACCGTGGTGCTGTCCTTTTTCTGAGCCATTCTGCCAGTCCACAGTAGGCAGTGACAACTGTAAACAGATATTTTTGTTTTAACTCACTGATTTTGTTCACCTGAGACAGTTTTCCCTAATCCGCTGGTTCTGAAGGTGCGGCCCCTGGAGCAACAGCCTCAGGGCTCAGCCCCTCTCTGCCGTCATGAGCTGGGGGGCCCAGCACTGAGCACCCACCGACCTAACCCCCCAGGAGACACGGGCGTGCGCCACAGAGAGACCTGACGCCCTCACGTTCTCTTCTCGCTGAAGCCCTGAGCTCTGTCGTCAGTGACTGTAAGCAGCACGGCGGCTTGGCCAGGAAAGCGTGATTTGAACGATTCCCCTTATAGACTCACTAGTAGAAATTAAAGACAAAATAATCCACAATGACATGAGTCCCAATAGTGATGCTCTCCTGCCTCTTACATCCCCTTACTACCTGAACTGTCATTTCTTTCCGTTTCCTCCCCTCACCCCCCACTCAGAGCTGTGTCCACGTGTCTGCAAGGAAAGCAAGGTTTTAAACGCAACAAGTCTCGACTTGGCCCCATTCTCTCTCAAGTGGGCTGCAGCGAACAAGTCCCGTTAGCTGGGGGGGGGGGTTATAGGAGTTAGCGAGGGCGGCACACCCGGGTGACACAGCATCACATCACAGATGCGATGGCAACGGAACAGTGGGCTTACTGGTGACAGGTGTGGCAAGGACACTCCCCTTTAAAGACATCCAATAAGCCTATTTTTTTTTTGAAGACACATGTATGTTGGGACAAAAACACAGGCAGCTTAAGGGAACATACACTATTCCAAGGATGAGTCCATTGGTCCCTCAGTCTCTCAGTGCAAACCGAGAGAAGGAGCCATCTCTGGGACTGGGGCCATGGAGCAGGAGGGACCAGGTGACATGGGTGGCCTTGTTCGGAGACCAGCTCACATGAAAACGAACACATGTGCGAGTGGTACAATCAGCAGGGGGTCCTCGATTTCCGCTGGTGAGAGCATGTCCCGTCCGACGAAGGCCTCCGTCACAAAAGAAGAGCCCGTTTCCCAGACTGGGCTGTGTGGTCAGGGCACAGCTGTCCTAAGAACGGAGCTGAGACTCAGCAGCGGGAGCCACCAGGACCGGT